ATATATTTATGTTTGTGGTTGTAATGTGACAAATATGGAAAAGTTCAAGGGGTATGAATACTTTTGCAAACCACTGTAACTTAGACAAAGGTAATATCTTAATAGAGTTGCCTTACGCTATTCCAGATTTTGAATAATGTGCTACATTCATTAAGCTAAACCTGTTAAAAGACAAAATGATAAAATGATGAAACTTCTGTCAGTTTCATCTCAGACAGGTTGCTTGTAACAATCAGACTTTTAGTGTAAATTAGGGTTGGGTAAAATTATATCGTGTGCAGTTAATCATCAGAAAAACTAATCGATTATTCTTTGGGACTTGACAATTAATACGATTAATGCCACCAGGCAGACTGACTGGAGATTGTCCCGGTCAGCCTGCTTGGTGCTCCTCTCACATATGACAAACATTAACAATTTTAAAAATTGTTCTGTAATTTATTTATCGTAACTCCAGTTTTACTTGGTCTATCAACACAATTTAAAAATAATGTAGCCTGAAGTCTGTAYTTTTGACACAATTAGGAACAGATTTTTACAAATCTCTCCCACTAGAGGGATTTAAATTGGTCATGTGATTAGGACATGCAGGGGTCCAGGGACTCCAGGGGATTAATCATCATATTAATCGTTATCGGCTAAATACCACAATTAATCGTGATTAATTTTTTTGCCAATATCGCCCAACCGTAGTGTAAATCTTTTTTTATTAAATTTATTTCATTTAAACAAGAAAAACAAACATTAAAAATAACCAAAAAAGCACAATATCGTTAAATGAAAAGGAGCAGAGAGAAGAAAAGAATCTTATATCTGCCCCCAATTAAAACAATATCCATAAAAATAACAAAATGTGCATCAACAAAGAAATAAAAATAATAAATACTATTTCATCTAATGAAATATAGCAGAGAGAAGAAAAGAATCTTATATCTGCCCCCAATTAAAACAATATCCATAAAAATAACAAAATATACATCAACAAAGAAATAAAAATAATAAAAACTGCTATTATTTCATCCAATGAACAGCTGAGCGAGAAAAAACAACAACAAAAAAACAACAACAAATGTAAATTATTCAAACAGAGACTGCCCATAACTTATCAAACGTAATGTTTTGTTAAGTTAGTTTTATCCAAATTAAGTGATAATTTATTAAAATCAAACCAGTCATGTATCTTTACAAAATCTAATTGCAACAAAGCTCGCAGATGTTCTAAATTGTTTCCCGAACAAAAAAGGTAGTGTCATCTGCAAACATGACACATTTCTTTACAACAGACACATTAACCAAATCATTGGCATACAAAAGAAACAACTTGGGTCCTAACACAGAACCCTGTGGGACCCCACAAGTAATTGTCTCAAAAGTTGATCTTACATCATTAATTTACACAAATTATTTCCTATTTTCTAAATAACTCGATACCCATTTCAAAGCTGAGCCACTCAGACCATATCTGCTCAATTTATCAAGAAGAATGCTGTGATCAATAGTGTCAAAAGCTTTCTTTAGGTCTATGTTAACAGTAACACAGTATTTTTTTGATCCACAGCCTTAGTTATATTTTCTATCAAGTCCATAACAGCCATAGTTGTTGAAAAATGAGCTCTGAAGCCATACTGGCTATTACTCAAAATATTATGCTCATCAACAAATTGGTCCAATCTCTTTACAGTTTCTCCAAATTTTTAGAAAACTGGGGTAATAATGATATAGGTCTATAATTAGAAAACAAAAGTCTATCACCACTCTTGTAGAGAGGAATTACCTTAGCAATCTTCATACTGTCGGGAAATATCCCAGTCAAAAATGATAAATTACATATATACGTAAAAGGCTCAACAATATAAACCATTATTTCCTTCACAAAAGTCAAATCCATATCCACCAAGTCCTTGGATTTTTTATTTGAAAAATTAGTGACCATACTCATTATTTCTTCCTTATTTGTTTTGTTAAGGAAAAAACTGTTTGTACAGTTTTCAAAGGTACTAGTCATACAATTATTAGCATTGGAAATTTGTGCTGCTAGATTTGGCCCGACATTCACAAAATATTTATTAAATCTGTTTACAATTTCACTCTGTTCATAAATGTACTCATCATCTAAAACAAAATGTTGTGAGACACTTGATTTAAACTTATTATTCAAAACACCTCACACATCTTATTAACTGAAGGTGTTAATGTATAGCATTTGAAACTTGGACTGCTCACAGCTGGAAATTAAATTATTAATGTGTGTAAGGAGTCTTGTTGAGGTTTAGGATAGCAGGATAACAATAAATGAAACTTGCAGTTACACTGTAAAACACTTGTAAATAAATTAGTGGTTTATGCCATTAGTGCAGGAGTCTGTAGACTGTGATGTGCTTTCATTGTGCAGTGCCTCCAGAGTTCCTGGTGCCGCTGTCAGATGTGGTATGTGCACTTGGGGAAACTGTCGTTCTCTGTTGTAAAACCTGCGGACGACCTAAACCATCAGTCACCTTGAAGGGCCCTGATCAGAACCTGGTGACCAGTACCAGCCGCTTCACCATTGATATCAGGTAACGCTGACACAGCTGACTGTGTAATAATCTACTTTTTCATCTTTATTCTTTCCATCTTTTGATCCTCATCACTCAGCCTTTTAGCTCCACCATCCACTGCATTTTGATTGTACTTTACTTCCTCTCCAGGGACACCGGTGACATCTTGCTGAAGATTTGTAATGTCATGCCACAGGACACAGGCATCTACACCTGCATAGCGGTTAATGACCATGGCTCTGCCTCTTCTTCTGCCTCCATTAAAGTTCAAGGTAACTCGTCAGAAGAGCTTTTCTCCACTTTCAGACACCAACTCCCTCCAGTACTAGGGGTGGGAACCTTCAAAGACATCATAATTTGTTTTGATTGCAATTTAGATGACTGTGATGCAATTAGAAAAAATATCAATGCATCCAAATATTTTGCTCTATGTTGCATCATAAAATAGTTTTCATTCAAACAAGATTTTGGGAACTAAATGATCAAACGGAGTCAAAAAGCGAGAACGGTAATTTAAGATTCTGTAGCAATGGATGTCTATCAATCATACCAGATGTATCTGACTCACTTTCTTCAGTATTTCCACCACTTTGTTTTAGGTTGTGTTGTAAAGGAATATTGGCTATTAGTATTTTCAACATATGATGATCCTATGGCTCTAAAGGTGCAACAAAATAATACCTCTATCATTGCAATTATCAAAACATTTATTAGATTTAACTTTTATATTTCCTTTTTTTGGCTTTTTTTTCCTTATCTTCTCTCCATCTTTGTGGGGTCACCTATTGTCCCCCGGTGGCCCTCCAGGGGGTCATGGCCTTCTTTGAAAAACACTGCTCTAATCTGTACACATTATCTTTTTTGCCCCCCGTTGCCTAGGAGGGGGGATTGTAAATGATCTCCGTCCTTCCATCCATCCGTTGCAATTTCAGAAAACTGATAAAATATAATCAACCAAATCATAGAACTTYAATAATTTCAATAATTTCAATTGATAAAACAATATTTGATGGATGGTTTGGCTGTCAAGCCGAAGAAGGAGTCCTATCTGGCCTTGCTGGCTGGTAGGACTCCAGAGGCAGCTGAGRAGTATCGACAGGCCAAGCGGGCTGCAGCCCTGGCCATTGCTGAGGCAAAAGCTCGGATATGGGTGGAGTTTGGCAAAGATTCTCGATCAGCTCTGAGGAGATTCTGGCAAACCATCTGGTGGCTGAGGTGGGGGAAGCAGCACTTCACTAACACTGTGCTCTGGCCCAAATCTAAGGTTTGGGAAAGCTCTCATTGCCCTGAGAAGGAAARCTCTAAGTACACTGGTTGGAGTCCTAACTGGGCACAATCTGCTCAACTGCCACAAAACGGTGATGGGACTCCATGACAATGGTCTGTGTGATGCCTGTGGCATTGAATTAGAAACCTCTTTGCACTACTTAGGCCACTGCGTGGCTCTGAGTGGTCAAAGGAAAAGAATTCTTGGGGACCCCTTTATGGATCTCGAGAATCTCAGAACACTGTTTCTAACCTTGTGTCCTTCATCCGAGGGTTGAGAAGATTCGAATAAAGACCAATGTCTTTATGGGGAGATCAATGAGCCCATTTAGGAGGCCTCCGCTCATATGGATTTTATATCCATCCCCCACTAACAGTAACCAGAACACTGTGCTCAATGAAGGTGGGGTGCTGTTGACCTCAACCAATGATGTCGTTGGGTGGTGGAAAGAATACTTCTTGAACCCTCTTAATCCCACCGGCACGTCTTCTATGGAGGAAGCAGAGTCTGAGGACTTTGGGGCTGGTCTGTCCGTAAATGGAGCCGAAGTCTCTGAGGTAGTTAAAAGCTCCATGGCAGCAGGACTCCAGGGGTGGATGAGATCTGCCCTGACTTCCTCAAGGCTCTGGATGTTGTGGGGCTGTCCTGGTTGACATGCCTTTGCAACATTGTGTGGACATCGGGGGCAGTGCCACTGGATTGGCAGACTGGGTTGGTGGTTCTTCTCTTTGAAATGGGGGACCGGATGGTGTGCTGCAATTACAGGGGTATCACTCTCCTTAGCCTCCTCAGTAAAGCCTTTTTTTCAGGGGTACTGGAGAAGAGAGTCCGATTGATAGTCGAAACTCAGATTCTGGAGGAACAATGCAGGTTCTGTCCTGGCTGTGAAACACTGGGTCAAATCTTTACCCTCTTTAGGGTCCTCGAGGGGTCATGGGAGTTTGCTAATCTAGTCTACATGTGTTTTGTGGACTTGGAGAAGGCATTCGACCATGTTCATCGAGGTACACTGTGGGGGGTGCTACGCGAGTATGGGATTGTGGATCCGTTGTTACGGGCCATTCAGTCTCTATACAAGCTGTGCCAGAGTTTGGTTCGTATTGCCGGTAGTAAGTCGGACCCCTTCAGAGTGGGAGTTGGACTCTGCCAGGGCTGCCCGTTGTCACCGATTCTATTCATAACTTACGTGGACAGAATTTCTTGGGGCAGCCAGGGGGTGAAGGGAGTCCGGTTCACGGGGCCTCAGGATTTCATCTCTGCTGTTTGCAGATGAGGTTCTGTTGGCGTCATCGCACCAGGAACTTCAGCTCTCACTAGAGCGGTTCGCAGCTGAGTGTGAAGCAGCTGGGATGAGGATCAGCACCTCCAAATCTGAGTCCATGGTCCTCAGTCGGAAAATGGTGGATTGATCTCTCTGGGTATGGGGTGGCGTTCTACCTCAAGTGGAGGAGTTCAAGTATCTTGGGGTCTTGTACGGGAGTGAGGGAAGAATGGAGTGTGAGATTGATAGACAGACTGGTGCAGCTTCCACAGTTTTGTGGACTCTGTACTGGTCTGTCGTGGTGAAGAGGGAGCTGAGCTGTAAGACAAAGCTCAGTTTACATTCCTACCCTTACCTATGGTCATGATTGGTGTCTGTGCTTGTGATTTATTCTGTTTTCTGTCTTTTCTTCCTCTGTTTTCTTCCTCCTGTCTGCCTTTGCTCCAGCCCCGCCTTCTCACACCTGAGCCTCATGTTTCTTCCCCAGGTGTTTCTTGTTTCTGCTCATTAGTTTCCCTTTATCTTCTGTACAGTGTCTTCAGTGTTTGTCAGATCTTTTTTGCTGTTCTTTGTTCATGTCTTTGCCAAGCCAAGTTTTTGTATTTAGTTTGCTGTCTTGTCAGCTTCTTGTTTTCATTTTATTAAATATTTTACCACCTCACTCAGTCCTGCATCTGGGGTTCTTACCAAACCAAGCCAATCAAAACATAGCACAGAATGTAAAGGGAAACTGAGTAGAAACAAGAAACACCTGAGGAAGAAACATGAGGATCAGGTATGAGTGGGCGGGGCTGGATCAAAGGCAGAAAGGAGGAAGAAAACAGAGGAAGAAAAGACAGAAAACTTAGAATAAATCATAAGCACAGACACCAATCATGACACCTGTGGTCACGAACTTTGGGTTGTGCCCGAAAAAACAAGATTGCGGATACAAGCGGTCGAAATGAGTTTTCTCCGCAGGGTAGCTGGACTCTACCTTAGGGATTGGGTAAGAAGTTCAGTTATGTGGGAGAGACTCAGAGTAGAGCTGCTGCTCCTCCACATCGAGAGGAGCCAGTTGAGGTGGTTTGGGCATCTAGTAAGGATGCCTCCTGGAGACCTCCCTAGGGAGGTGCTTCAGGCATGTCCAACTGTGAGGAGACCCCGAGGAAGACCCAGGACACGCTGGAGAGACTATGTCTGCTGGCTGGCCTGGGAAYGCCTTGGAGTCCTTCCAGAAGAACTGGAAGAGGTGGCTGAGGAGAGAGAGGTCTGGGCTTCCCTGCTCAAGCTGCTGCCTCCATGACCCGACTTCGGATAAAGTAGAAGATAATGGATGGATGGATTCCATGTCAGCTTTTCATCAATGATGAAACCCAAAAACTTCACCTCACTGAATCTACAGATCTCAACATCATCAACTCTAAATGGAATATCAACAGTTCTTTGTATTACTGAATATTATATAGTTAGTTTTATCTAAATTTAATGATAATTTATTAAGTTTAAACCAAGTTTGTATTTTTACAAATTCTGTCTGTATCATCTCCAACATTCATTCTATAGCTTTACCCAAACAAATAAATGTCGTATCATCTACAACTAGAAGACATTTACAAAGTCCTGACACATTTAACATGTCATTCGCATTTAAAATAAATAATTATGGTCTAAGTACAGAACCCTGAGGAACTCCACATGTGATGTTACAAAGTTCAGATCTTACTTCATTTATCTTTATAACCTGTTTCCTGTTTTTCAAATAGCTAGATACCCACTGTAGTGCAGGTCTTCTAATGCCATATATAAAGAGAATGGAGTGGTCAGTAGTGTCAAATGCTTTCTTTAAATCAACACAAATACTAACACAGTACTGTTTTTGGTCATCAGCAGTTATTTGTTCTATCAACTCCATGAGAGCCATTGCTGTTGAATTATTTGCATTAAACCCATGCTGACTGTTAATCCATATTGATCTAACCTGGTTACAAATAATTTCTCTAAAATTTTTGACAACTGTGGTTGTCAACAAAAGGTTGTTGGTCTGTATTGGTGAACACACATTTATCACCATTATTTTAAAGAGGAACTACCTTAGCTAATTTCACAGTTTGGAAATATTCCTGYTGAAAAAGGTAAATATAATTTTTGACATTTGTACATAAATTGATTCAGAATTGATTATTGTGATGATATCCCAGGTATCCCAGCAGCCCCAGGAAGGCCGGTGGCTCAGGAGGCAAGCAGCACAGCGGTATTGGTCCACTGGCCACCCCCAGCTTCATCTGCACACTGTGCTGTCAGCTGCTACACTGTGGAGTACAGACAAGAGGGTCAGTGTGAACTGTTGGATCCAAAAAAAAAAAAACTTCTTGTCTTTGCAAACAGGCTCAAGCTCACACTGTCCTTTTCCTCCTCCTTCAGACTCGTTGCTTTGGCAGCAGTCAGCCAGCAGCAGGGAGGAGTGTGTACAACTTGATGATCTGATTCCTGGAGGTCACTATCAGTTCAGAGTTCGAGCGTCCAATCGCTGGGGTGTCGGCCCGCCATCCGAGCCCTCCAATATGGTTGCATTGGCCAGCAGCAGTAAGTGACACACACGTACACACTCAGTGCAGACATTATTATCCTGTTGTTTTTAAAAAAAACACGTGTCTGTTTCTGCTCTATCCAGACTCTGGGTATGATGGAACTGGGATTCAGTGGAAAGAACATTTTGAGTTGAGCTTCACTGAAATCTGTGAGATTGGAAGGTATTAACGTACAGCCGTCCTGAGTCAGCTTTATTCCTTCCATCAGTCTGAAGCTGTGGGTTTCATTGCTGTTTGTCTGCTCTCTGATCAGGGGTCGTTTTTCTGTCGTGAGAAAATGTCTCAACAGGTCCACAAAGAAAGAGGTAAGACATCACAAAGATGAACATTCAGTTCTGTTTTATTACTCAATTAAAAAGTGGTCAATTTACTTTGTGTAAATGCTGAGTCAGCAGTTTTTTCCCTGAGCGTTGTTTTTGCATTCAAACTACTTTTATATTTGTGCTTTTTAAAATATTCATGCATCAAAACCACATGAATAAAGTTTTTATATCTGAAGAATAAACCTTTTCAGCTGAGAATGGAACTTGGGTTTCTGTGCAAATATTCGGGCTTCCAGTTTCTGAACACTTTCTTACACACAAATACACGCTACTGCCCAGTTACATTAATTACTGTAAATGTAATTACTTTTCATCTGTTTTCTCAGTTTTCAGTGACATTCTTTGCGACCTTTCTTTTTCTATTGTTTTTCTCATCTTCCGTCCAGGTTGCAGTAAAATTCGTGAGTAAGAAAATGCAGAAGAAGGAGCAGGTGGCTCATGAGGCAGACATCCTCCAGCATTTCCAGAACCACCAGCTGGTGGCGCTGCTCGACACGTACGAGTCTCCCACCTGTCTGATGCTGGTCTTGGAACTGTGAGTCTGATGAAATCAATCAGATTTAATCTGTTACACTCACAGATGTCAGCAGTTAGTTATCTTGTTGGGACTTGTTTGTGTGTGCCAGGCTGGAGGACGGCCGTCTGCTGGATTATCTCGTCAGCCACGATGAGGTGATGGAGGAGAAGGTGGCACTATTTATAAGAGAAACTTTGGAGGCTCTTCAGCACCTTCATACCTGCAGGGTAGCACACTTGGATCTCAAGGTGATGACACGTTTTTGGGTGCAGTGATAAGTAAGGTGTGGGAAGTATTTAAAAAACTGAGCAAGACTTTAGTACTATAACTTTAGTACTATAACTCTGTCACATTAACTACTGCTGTTTTTACTATTTCAAATTATTTGAATCAATTTATGCATGTCATTAACATTTTGTATCAGTTTATCAAGAGTCTCATGACAACAGTCAACTAAGCCCGACGGGCCCTGTACAGGGCCAGCAGATGTCATTCCTTGTTGTTTGCTAAAGTAGGTGCAAAACTTATTTTTCCCAAATTTTTTCTAAGTCCGTCACAAAAAGTGTCTTTAATGTTTTTAAAATGAGTCGCCAAATTATTTTTGGATAAATATTTCTGATTTTAGAGCTATATAAACATTTGTAAGTTACTTGAACCGTCGCGGACCGTTTCAGGATCAGGAAGTTCTCAGCATCTGTTGCTGTGCAAGTTTTTGGTTCCACACCCCTCCCTTTGGTATCTTTAAAAAGATGAAGCTCTCACAAATTCAGGGATATATCTTGACACTGTGTTACTCTTTGTTTGGTGACGTGAAGTTTGTGCGTAACCGAGAGTATAAATAACATCCCTCGTGTGTAAAACGTGGAGGCGGAGTTACGTTTCTGTAGGCGCTTGGATGAATAGTGTAACAGTAGATTTTGATGATGCACAGTGTAAAGGTAAAAAGAAAAGTTTATGTCATATGCAGAATGAGTCCTACAATACAAATCAACACTTTTATTCGACCAGATTCTCTTTAAAAACCCATTTGGCACAGTTTTGGGTACATTTGGCTAAATTGTGCCAAAATGCCATTTCTGCCTGGCACACTGTTAACTAAAACCTTTGTGAAATGAATATACTTCAACTTATTCAGTCCTACTTTGCTACAATTTTCTCAAGATGTAGATGTATAAAATCTAAGGGCATTCCTGGGTTTTCACAAGAATTTTCATTGTGTTTTGCACTGTTGATTTTAAAAAAATTTAAGCGAGGCTAAAAAAATTACAAATTTTCTTTATTTAATCACAAATAACTCAGGTACAGTAAGAGCTACAATAGTGGTTTCACTTAAGAAATTATCTTTAAGGTTTTACCTTTACAGAGGTACCAAGAGTTAGCATTTAGACCTTATAACTGTGGAGATATTCTTGCTTTATTTTGCTGTGTGTTTTCAGGCAGAAATTACCTCGAAAACCCCTTAGGCTGGATTCTGTTCTTATTTTAAAGTCATGCAGATTTCAAGTGAGGGTTTTCTTTTTTAAGAAGTTGTTTGGATTGTGATGAAATGTATCTCTAAGAATGATAAACGAAAATCTTTTTCATGGACAGTAAGTGTTAAGAAATGAATGGTAATGATCGATGGAAGAGATGGACAATTTTTATAGGAGCATCCAGAGAGTGAACACTGGTCATACAGGGGTGGCCAAAAATATATWTTTTTTTCCTTCATGGCGATTTGCTGTGAAGCTTATTATGTTTCTTAGTCATTACAACCATGTACAATTACTTCATGAGAATTATCTATTTGAGCAATGCAGCTGAAACTAATATTCTGTATATAGAAAAAACCTTTAATATTATTATTAAGTTGTGTGGTTGCCTGGAGAAGTCTGATGGTCTGCTTACCCAACTTCTTCTAGACTTCGACTTAACACTAGCAGACTGCAAGTCCATCATTCAGTGAGGTCATGAGATAAAAAAACAAGTACAGCGGGTAAAATAAGTATTGAACATGTCACCATTTTTCTCAATAAATATATTACTAGAGGTGCTAATG